TAGAAAGTCTCTTGTCCAGTCAGATTAGAAAATCAGATTACAACTAGGCTAACTGTTAACTGGGGACATGTCCCCCCCCACTTTTCAAAATCACGTTTGTGTCCCCCCCACTTTAAAATTCGTTTATGATTTTTTTAACCGCACGCCGTCATCGCCACGGAGGAGCAGGACCGAGCAGGGCACAGACTCACGCGTCCGGGTCCAGGAACATCGCGTGCACACTCTAAAAGTAGCTCACTGAAAGTTCTAATGAGCAGGTATCGCGGTTGTGGCACAGTCAGCGATGAAACACCAGAAGACGCAACAGATGACTTTAATGGCATCATGGATGAAAAGAAAGAAAGAAAGGAGATGTGAGTTGGTTGAAGTTACTGAATGAACAAATGACTCGATGACTCATGCATTAAGACAGTGACTTACCGCCACCTACTGGCGGTTTTAGTATTTAAAAGAATCACTTTTAAGAGAAGAGAAGAAGGAAGAGAGGGTGTAGGCCTAAGCAGAAATGCCTCAGGGGGTACTCCACTCTAAACAGTCTGAGAACCACTGATGTAGAACATTCTGTCCTGTGCAACAAGTGATTTATTTTATATTTTCAGGTACAGCGGTTAGTTTGAAATAAAAGTTTGTTTAACAGTGGAAATTGAGTCTCACATTATTTAAACATTATTCAAAACATTAAAACTGGGTTGTGTTGAGCACACGAGCCTTTGGTATTTAGCGAGCACTGAGGGGGGCATCAGGTGAGCAAGCTAGTGAAACGTTGCACGCGCAAAAGAGAAGGTCTACACACATCCAAAAACTTATTTTAAATGCAAAATTGATTTTCGTGCGCTCAAAATACTTTTTTCTTTGCAAACGTTTTCTCCACAAAACTCAGATCGCGCGCGTGCAAAATGCACTTTTGTGCGCTCAAAATATCTTTCGCGTGCAGAAATGTGGCAGAAATGTAATTCCATAATTATCCCGTTAACATGCATTTCAAATACACCTCATGTTATTTTTTAAAGCAATTCCTCTCATATTTTGTCACAATCTGCATCACTTTCTGTGTCGTTTCTCATTAAAGCTATGGTGTGAACTTCTCGATACTTAAGAATTACAATGATTATTAAAACTTTATAATCAATGTTATAGTTATCCTTGGTGTGAATGGGTCTTAACTTGAATGTGCATGCTGCACTCAGCAATGAAAATGACATAGAGCGTTATATGTTTCCACCTGTATTTAGTGCTGACCACTTGTGAACAGATCACCAAAAACGCATCTCAATACAAACAGAACCATTGAGTTTCTAGAACATTTTCTTATCTAACAAATATCACAAAGCTGATAATACTAGAACTATTACTAGCAAAGTTCTACATAAGTGACTCTACAAACTACTTTCACCTGAATGGTTTACCTGCTTACAGCCTCTGGGTGATGGAGGGAGAAGAGAATAAAAGAAACATGCTGGGAAAACAAGACATCTTAAATATCTATCAAATATTTTTTTTAAAAAGAGAAGAGGAAAGAACTGTTCAAAAGAGTATGATGGATGCAAGACTGACAAAGAAGTAGAACAAGCTTGGCTTCAGGCTACATTAAGTAGGTTACATACGAAAGGCACAGATTTCAGGGACTGTTAAGTGTAACACTAGCAGTACTGTTAGCGTGTCCTCGCAGTCACCTCACTATCAATAAACGGAGGCAGAATTTTAAATCCTTGC